ATTTTATTATTATTTTGTATTGTAGCATAAACTGACATAAATTATGCATTAAACAGTTTTAAAATTAAACAGGTGAAAGAAGTGACAATCAAATAAGATGATGGAAAAATTAGAAACGTGATGAACGGAGAAACAAACTGCAAAGTTAAGAAAGACATAATATAGAGTGTGGTTCAAACAGCAGGTGGGGAAATTTGACAGAAATATTTACATTGTATTGTGTTTTAAGGGCCAAGATCCCCAAAAGATGACTCAACTATTCAAGTAAGTCTATAAGTAAAAAAAACAAAAACAACAATTGTAAGAAAAAAATAGAAAAATGCCCAAAGTCACTTAAAAAGTAGACATTGCAACACTGGAAGCTATCCGAACCCCATAGTGGTTGGCAAAATGACCTAATCTTATATCACATTATAAATAATGGTTTGCCTCCATCGAGAAAATAATTAGTCAGAAACGATAACGATAGTAAAGATAGACTCTAAATTATATAGATCTGACTCTAAATTATGAGAGAATACTTTCGGCACATTTGAAGCCACTGTAAAATAGTCGATATACACGTGACTGCATGTGCGATGAATTATAATTGAATGTGGCAAGTTATGATTCTTTAAAAATTCTTTATGATTCTTTTTGTCAAGCCTGACACCTTTTAATAACAAGTTCTGCTTCATCTTGAACTGTCTGAGAACCATCCAGCTCTGTATTTTTGTATTATTAATTGTTTCTTTGTCACTATCAGGTGTAAATAATGTAAAGCAGTCCTGCCCACTGATAGCTACACAAATATATTTTCCACAGCAGTATAAATGATGCAACGAAATATCTACTGCCTGACACAATTCTACCATTGCACGATATACAGTATATATCATCATACCACCCAGCCCTACTGCCAGAGTCACAATAATCTTGAAATGAAAAAGTGCTAGTAACAGATGCACTTTTCATGTAATGAATTGAAGCAAATTCTTTAAAAAAAAAACTATAAAATATGGTGGCAATATTGAACTCCTTATTTAATTTAAATGCACGCACAATATCCATTTTCCCATGTGCCGTGGGTGGGAGTTTCTCTCAACAATTTACAAATTGGGATGATTGATTTTATCCACCAAAACATCCATTCTAAAGTGTTGATGGAACACCACAGTTTAGTTTGTTGGATCTGGTGTTTGATGCATGGAGGTGTTTTTACTCATAGAAAATACGAGCCCCAAAACAACCAGAACGCTTGATCTTCATGCTCTGTTCTCTACATAAATGAAACAGACAAACCGAAATAAATAAATACATAAATTTGTCTGCAATGAATATGAACGATCCACTTCTTCCATTACACCACTCGACCCATGAAGCAAACACATGACTCGTAAAGTTTACCCACTGCATGAGTTAAACCCTTTACTGTTTGTTTCTACAATAAACAGACACTCATTTCTCCTCCCATTTTATTTGCCACAAATACAAATGTGCTAGTTTAGACACACACAGACATGCAGTTTAGCCATCCATTGTGTAGTTGCGTGAGGTTGTATGTTCACACATCTCTAAACATCACGCCCATGGGAGATGAAAAACAATCAAAAATACACAATATGTCTTACTGTTTGTTCCACCACAATATCAGCAATCACAGCTGTGCACTGAACGATTTTCAGCAGCAGGATGGGATCACATGCACGTTTGAGTCTCTTAAATAATTTAATGGTTACTGAACGGGCCACTTTATCAATATTGTGTGCACCGATGTATATGTGTGAGAATTACAGAAGCGTTACACTCCAAATAACCTAATTTATTAGAATCAACACTAATGACCACGCTATTGGATATTACTCAACTTATGAATGATTTAATGATTATGAAATAAGGCTGTATGTGAATACTGTATGCATAGTTCTCCACTATATAGCGATAAACAGTATGTGAAAAGATTAGTATGTCTGAATTCACAGTAGGCGAAATGATGACTTATTATTTCCAGCAAGATTACAAAGTGCACATACATTGGACACTCTATCCCATGAGGCCATGGGAGAGGTGTTGATATTAGGTCATATGACAAATGACTGATACTATATAGAACATACGTTTTTAATGGTCACTAAGTACTTATTCAAAAGAATGCAATTCACAATTTCCAAAAAAAGGGACTAGAACTCAGCAGTGAATTACAAATCTGATTTTGCAAGATCGAGTGAATTGCATAGAAGAAGCATATTAATCATAATGCATAAAAAATGCATTTTGGACTAGCCCGTTTATATTTAGGATGCAATGATAGTGTTTCATTCAACAATCAATCTAAAAGCACTGCAAGGATAATGTTACAGACTTCACACATAGTGCTTTGAGTCATTTTGCGCATCCCAAGAGCAGAATGATGTATGGTGTATCTGGACTGTGTCAGGATCTGAGCGATTTCCAGGAAGTTAGAGAATAAACGAATGTGTTTCCACTTTGGATGTCACTGTTAAATTGATTTCTCTGGGACACAGCAACAGTGTTAGGACGTGTTTATCATGACCAACAATGCTGTGTTGTAGATATGCAGCTCGTGCAGCAGTTGAAACCCAATACATATGACTGAATTTGTAATTGACATTCAATACACAAAATATGATACTCAGGATCAGAAGTCCAAACAGAGGAAACATGCCTGTCGTTGAGTAGAGCTGTGTTACATTCTTGTTCCTACATATCTCATATTTCAAATGAGACAGCATTGCACTATTCATAAAATAATATTTACAAATAATATTAAGCTATATGTTCTATAATTTTAATAATATGTTAAGATCAGTTTAACATGGCCATTTCCTGCCTTTTTTGACCAGCCTTGTCTCACTCTTTATGCATTGGTAACATTTACAGGTATAAAAACATACTATTTTGTATGTTTTGATATTGAAATGTATAATATGGATGTAAACATTATTACATATTACAATAGTATAATATTTTTAATAAATATATTTGCATAATATTTTTTTTTACCGTTTTATAGTTATATTTTTGATCCCTTAACCCTTCCATATATATATATATATATATATATATATATATAAAATGGGCAGAAAAAAAGTATACAATGACAATTTTAGTGTCTATGTACCATTAAATAGATTTTTTTGAGCCACTAATACCACTCCTACCTCTAGCCCTAACCATATCTTACTATATACAGAATATATACTATATTCTGAATATATGCAGTATAGAACAGATCACAATACAGCACAAGCATAATCAAAATAATTTACTGCTAAAATGCTAAAAAATCTGTAAAAGTAGTCCAAATGACTGAATATTGTTGAATAAAGTTTTGAATGTAAGTTTCTCACAAAACACAATAATATGCAATCTGAAGATTTGGATTACAGTGCACAAATAAATTGGATTACACTTAAAATGATATAAAATGGATCATTTTATGTTGCATTTTCTGTCACAGCATACTGATAGAACATATTTTCTATATAAATGTTATTAATTTTAAGCTTTTTAAGTGTAGTATTGTTTACATTATGTAATCATTTGAGATTAAGTAAATGAGTCAAATGCTCAAACAAATGCCATTGAAAATCTCAATGATCATAAATACAATAGTATCAACTGATTGATTTCGTGAATTCAGTCT